TTATATAATAAATAATATTTTAATAATATTCAGCAAAGGGTGTGGCGACTTAGTGTAGTTGGTAAGTTGTTGCATCCCAAGCAGCAGAACAAGAGTTTGAATTCTACTGGCAACAAAATTCGAATTTACAGAAATGTATTTGGAAGACTGTATTCTATAGATAACATAGTGATGGCAGAAAAAATTCACAACCATGTGATTGCTAACCATTTTCAGTCTAAATAAGACTGAAAGGTAAGACAAGATAATCTAATAATAATTGTGTTTATAAATTTTTTGGAACAGACAATATCATAACTTCTTTGGAACAGTAAATTCTTTGGATTAACAAAATTATATAAACTTGGGATTTGTACTTAAAGAGAAGTTAGAAAATACTGTATGAAGGGTAACAAGATAAGTTTTATCTTTATTGTGTCAAAATAAGAAGCAAGTGTATAACTTTATATTAAAAACTCAAATTTCTAATATACAGTATTTAGTTGAGTACATATTTCTAAAATACAAATGTTTTTATTATATTAATTCTCTAATGAAATTATATTTATTATTATTAGTTTATTGCAACCAAAATGTCAATTTTCCTTTTTTTAATGGTTTAAAAGTTTGTTGCTGTGTTCTGGCTCTTAGGACTTCATTATATGTAGTAATCTTATTAATAAGAGGCTGTCTAAGGGATTTATATATTTCATAAAGTTTATCATTTTCAATATTATTATTTATAATATTTATTAATGTCTCAAATGCTTTCATATTTGATATTAGTTTCATTTTTCTGCTTTTGACCACTTCATGGTGTTCAAAAACTATTATACTTGGACTATGATTACTTGTTACCTTCGATTTAAGTTGAAGTTCTGCAGTATCACTATATTGAGTATTACTTCAAGTGTTCCAAAGATTATTAGTCAAGTTAATCCTTGGAAGGCTTATTCCAAAAGAAATAAGCAGATAATCATAGTGACGAGTTGTCTCAAAAAATTGTGAAAAAAATGATGGATGTTCGGCAGAATATTTTTTTACCAAATGCTTGTATATAAAATAAGGACTACCCAAAAAAGCGGAACAAAAAAAGTATTGTAACTATATAATAATCTTTCTGATTATTTGGCTAATTTGTGAATTAGCTAAAGTAAAATGGGTTTAGAGTTACAGTTAGGTATCAAGAATGCAACGTATGCTTTAGCCAACCCCCTAATTTGGGACAGTCTCTCTTTGAAGTCAAATACGTACACAAACTAAAAAAAACGACATCTTATACATGGGAGCTAGACCGATATTTAGTAATACGGGGGTAACATAGTTTATAGCAAAATCATCAGCTGGGCACTTTATACTTAATAATTTCATTAGTAAAATATTTAGTGATCTTGGGCAAAATTGATCAATTCTGGCCAAGCTGATCAGAATTCTGATGCCTTCCGACCAGAATTTTGGGGACCACAGTATAGGTTAGGTAAAAAAAATCATTCTAAAATTTGGCTAATATCGTTATACGATAAAAATAGTTAGATTTGGATAAGCCTACTTTTCTATGTTCTAGAATTTTTGATAAACTTTACACACACACTGACAATATCCTTCTAATTTATTCTCTTACTAAGACATAACCCAGACTCGGACTATTTCAATACATCGATAAACAGCTAGACAAGTAACGATGCAATTTTATGAAAGCGATCATCTATTAACTTTCGGAAATGGGGACGCTTAAGGCCAGGTATGGGTTAGGGTATTTTGTTGATGCAATTATAGAATTAGTGTTACTATTTTTATAGATATCAAGAATACAATTTATGCAGTATGTAGATCAATATACGAATGTACCTAGCTTTTAATCTTTTAATCCACCGGAAATGGCTAGAGTTATGCAAAATTATGCAAATCACATAACATTCCAAAACAATATCGATATAGTCAATCAAACTTTTTTTTTGTGATACGTATAACAAGAGCAATTTTATCTCAAAACACACTAAGCCTTAATGCTAGTTAAATTATTTTGGAAAAATCGAAATTTAGACTACTCCCTGCTACGTATTGATAATCAAAATTTCATTTAATCCATATCAGGTAAAGATAATTGATTTCCATAAACATTCAACCCCTTTTACCTTACATATGGCACGGAGTGTCCAGCTATTCGTAGCATCTAAAATAGCGCTCAGATATTTCATGCAATAATTATAAGACAATTATAAGACTTTTTTTTCTCAATTAGCAAATTTTGAATTTATAAAACATTAGGTAAGTTAGTATATACGTACACGTAGATGATTGCTAATTTGCTATTTTTGCTATTTTTGCTAGCTATTTTTGTTACTATCGCTATTCCGACTATTAATAGCTGGACTCTGATAATACGTATCAGTTACCTCACATTTTATTTTTAACTTGTAGGACAAATGCTTTGGTAGACATCGATCTAAAATAGCTGCAAGTTATCAATACTGCTGCAATAATAACGTTTAATCAAATACCCTGAATAGATCATATGATCACATTGGTATGTAGAACCACAGCAGTAGAACAACACTGGTTAGTGAATAACAAAATTTTGGAGCTTTGACGACATTAATGTAGGCTGAATCAATAATTTTCTATTTTAAGGCTAATGAAATCATGTGATGTCACCTATGTCCATATCACTAATTAAAAACGCTGATTTAATCATTTTAATGTCTTGTATCACGTTATTGGCGTGCACAATTTGCGAGGCGAACAATCAAAAGGAATTGATAAGCTTAACCATATCTAATAACTTATAGATATCAATATTTTTTTGATTTACCTTTTTTTGTCACAAACGCGTATTGTTACTCAGAATTAATAACTTAAATAATAAAAAGGGTGCCAGGGCCCATGTATGCGGTGAATCGCACGTACATACGTCTGTACGTAATTGGAGTTTTATGCAAAGAACGGATTTGTTTGCCTTTATATCATACGACTTCGATATAATCTCCAATTTCTGATAGTAGATTATCATAATTCATATCTCTCTTTTTTTCATTTGGATGTGTTTTTGACAATTTAAATTTAGCGAGTATGTCTGAACCAAATGTTCCTAATGAACGAGACCCATTAATTGGTTCAAGGGTAAGTTTGGGTATATATCTCATTTTTCTTTAGAAACTTGTTCGAATAAAAAAATCTACCAAAAATTCTTAAATGTGAAATGAAATAAAATAACAAATTATCTCCTAAATTCATTCATTCATTTCATGCTTTTATAAAGTACATTAAAGGTCCAACAAACTTGCGTTATATCTTGAAATTATTGACAAATTTGCAATTCATAAAAATTTTTACAATTGCTTTGGTGATTGGTACTTTTTTTATATTCTATGAAAGGTGTTTACATTTTTTGAAAATTTTAAACAATATGTTTTGTTGATTAAATATCGTTATGTAACTATAAATTTCAAATCTCAGAGAACAGCCTGAGGGTTATGTGATATATAATGCAAACATTTATACAGTTGATGAAAAAAATCCAAAAATTGAAGCCTTCACGGTGTTGAATGGAAAGTTTGTTGATATTGGTACAAGATTGGATTTGCTACAAAAATGGACTAGTCTTAAAGTAATTATTATTATTATTTTTTAAGTATATAGTGAAATATAAATTCATGTTAATATGTTTCGTTTGATGTGAACCTTTTAGCATATAGATTTAAGAGGTCGAACCGTAATCCCAGGATTAATTGATGCACATGCGGTATAGCCTTATGAATTTAATTTTTAATTATATTACGGTTATTGTTATATTAGCCTTAATTGTTATTTCTTTTAAAAGCATTTAATGCATCTTGGTGATGCGCTAACATCTGTTAATCTTGTCGGTGCAAAATCTATTGAAGGTTGGCTTCTAATCGTATATCCAATATGATGCATAACATATGAATATAATCTGAATATTAAGTTCATTTGATTTGTCATAATCATAAATCGTAGACATAAATCAACGAATTTATGAATATATCAAAACATATCCTAACACGAATGGATGGATCACAGGATGGGGATGGGATCAAACACTCTGGTCATCGAAATCGTTTCCGACTTCTGTAACTATTCAGTGAAACCATTTATCTAAATCATTTGTGATGAATTTATTCAATTATCTAATTTGATCTAATTTGAAAATTCTTCATATTTTTTTTTACAGAAAGATTTAGACATTGATCCAATATTATCTCAATATGCAATATCATTAACACGTATTGACGGACATGCTTTATGGGTTAATGGGAGAGTATTGGATATCCTTGGAAAAGATAAACTTCCACCCGAACTGGATGGTGGTGAGATTATAAGAGACAACGAAACAGGCCAATTGACCGGAATTTTTGTTGATAATGCTATGAAATTGATTCGTAAGCTTAATTTCGGAAATTATTTCATTGATGTATAATTTAATGATTTTATTTTGATATTTTCTTGTTTACAATTCTGTAGAACAGATATTGCCGCAACCAACTGACCAACAATTATTAGCAAATCTCAAAGCGGCAATCTATGAAATGCATTCTCATGGTCTTACTGGAGTTCATGATGCGGGTGTTATACCTAAATTACTTAAATTTTACAAAAAGTACCTTGGAATTTCTGAATCTCTTTATTTTATAATGCTTCACATTATGATTGAAATTTTTTCTTTAGTACTATTCTATCAAATCCACAAGACTTTAACATTAGAAATTATGCCATGGTTGAATGTGAAAACAATACTTATTGTGGTGATCAAATTGAGAAAATAGATGGGTTAGGTGACGGGAGATTAACTGTCAGAAGTACTAAAATCTATATGGATGGTGCATTGGGAAGTTGGGGTGCTGGTAGGTTATTTGCCTAACTAGTGAATTAAACATGTAATTTTGTTCAATGCTCATAATACCAATTTAATATCAATTTCGGTTTTTATAGCATTATTGGAGCCTTATTCTGGTAATATCATATTATTAATTTGTATTTGTTGATACAATAAATTATTTTGAATATATTGAATAATTTAAAACTTAGACGATCCGACAAAGCAGGGATTATTAATCTCCGATCCAACTTTATTACCCCCTGTGATTAGCAGATGGATGGATAAGGTATTGTATAATAGTACTTTAAAAATTACTTTATAAACATTTGCATTATTGAAAACAATGTTAATATATATTCTTTTTTTCATGCAGGGCTTCCAAGTTAACACTCATTGTATAGGAGACAAAGCCAATCACCTAATCATAAACGCATATGAAAAATGTTTTAAAGATTATATACTTTCAAAACAAAATGGGCAAAACATTACCGAGAAAGAGTTGACTAAAGAAATTAAAAAATTAGGAGAAAGTATTAGATTTAGGATTGAGCACGCACAAATATTGGTATGTTTATTAATTAGTATGTATTATGTTTATTAATTAATATGTGCTATGTTATTTAAAAAAAAAAACTATTTCTTTTTAATCCAGACGCTGGACGATATCAAACGTGTTGGTGAATTACGGATTATACCGTCAATGCAGCCTACACACGGTAAATACTGAATTTGATGACAATAATATTAATGAGAGTCTAACTTAACATTTGTTTATTGTATGCAGCAACGTCCGATATGAATTATGCAGAACAAAGACTGGGTAGTGAACGCATTAAAGGTGCATACGCATGGCGTTCATTCATTGACGCTGGGTATGATATTTAACTGTAAATGTATGATCGCTTATGATTTAGCAGAGGTAAAATTCCAGATTTAAGGTAAAGCGAAGCGAATTACACAATGATCGACCACTCAAATTGTGAACTTGTCTTGGAGTATTATATTCTTACTTGATCTAACCCCTATCCTTCTGACCTTAAATAAATGTTAAAACTCGCTACGCTTTAGTCAATATTCAAATTTGTCACTCTTTCTGAGGCATGTGATTATTTATAACAGAAGGTTATCAGTCGTCGGAATTTCTGCACATAATATCAGGAATTTGAATTAATGAATTAAAATTAATAAATCCTGCCGTTATACATTCCCAAAAGAGTGACAATCGTATGCATAATTTTGAATTTTACCTCCGCTTGATGATTTCCAGCATAACTGACTTTATATTATGTACACAATGGTGAAGAGTAAAGGAATTTCCTCTTTCTTCGGATTTCCCCGTAGAATCTGTGAACCCTTTTTTGGGATTCTATGCTGCAATCACGCGAAAATGGACTAATGGAGATTCTGTATGACTTCATTATACGTATTCACTTATTAATAAACTGGTCTGATAATAATATTACTATTGTTCTAATTATAGCCACACGGTCCAAATGGATGGTTTCCATCCCAAAAACTAACACGTGAAGAAGCTTTACGCGGGTTTACCATTGATGCAGCCTATTCCGCGTTTAATGAAGATGTTGTACGTATAAAAAATTCTTTTCGTCATATATAGCTTTCAAAAACCCAAATTTTTTAATATCTTATTTTTTTTTTCTCTTAAAGTTGGGATCGATAACGGTAGGCAAATACGCGGATTTTGTGGTAATCGATCGTGATATAATGAACATTCCAGAACAAGAAATAATTAATACCGCCGTATTGACAACTGTGTTCAATGGGCAAGTCGTTTTTGGAGATTTTTCGAAGATTGTACAATAACAATTATAGAGTTTATGTATTTTAGCTATGACTTAAGTTCTTTACATTTAAGTGGAATTTGTTTGTATAGTTATGATATCATTCGTATACTTACTGTATTCATCATCTATTCATCATATATTTATAGTCATTTAGGATTTTATTAACGTTAAAGAATAAATTGTATTTATATTTTAATTGAAAGCGCAAGTTTTACCTTTTATATATACGTATCGTATTTACCCTACCATTTTTGGCAATTTTCGAAATACGTATTGATTTTTTTTTTTTTCAGAAAAATTAAAATATCTCAGTAAAAACTTGTTCGAATTGCATAAAATTTTTAGGGCTTTCTGTCCCGCAAACTTACATGGAAGCCCAAAGGTGGTTTACTTAATAAAAATTTGACTTTTATATGTAGAAACGATTTTGATTCAAACAGGGAAGTAGCCTATTTTTAAAGGTAACTTATTATTGGGAAAATACGATACCTACACCAATATATCTCCGTCTGGAGCAAATAAATAGAATTTCAGTGTAATCAATTAATGAATAAGGTTTTACTTTCAACAGTAAATTATACAAGGTTATATTGTATTAAATTTGTTTAATGAGCATAAAAAAATAAAGATACATTCGTTACATATAATGATGATTTATACTTATTGAAAATGAAATTTGAAATCTTCAGAAGAAACTTTCGTGTTACCATCTTAATCATAGGAGAAACAACTTGATTAGCCTCAGTAAATCCAGCTAGACTTCTCATGTCAGTACGAAGTGCACACCAATAATGCCACTTGGAACATACATAAGTTTTAAATAATCGGAATTTAAAGATCTTTAGAATCATAAGAAGCTTCTCATCCATCCAATAACGTAAGCACATCATCATGAACCAAATACTTCATTTATCTTTACAATCTTACCGAAAAATCTTCGCTACTAAACTCCAAACTGCAGATTCAAGGCGATCTAACCAAAAGTTTAATACTAAATTTAATGAATAACTTTTTTTCTTGAAGCTTTGTCCAGTCTTCAAGTGTTTCTTCAAGTATAGCTTTTGGAATTCTACAATCAAAAGAACAAGTCTACTCAAAATAGGCCTTAACCATATCCAATAATACAATTCAACTTGCAGTTAAAGAACATAAAGTTGTCAAAAAGTCACATTATAGCAATTTAGATTAATTTTTTCACATTTTCGTCAGTTTTTACAAGTCTATTCACAGATTCTGACCAATTGCATTCAAGAGTATCTCGACAAAAATATCGGTAACATCAATCACAATTTTTTTTGAACTAATTTATTATTTAGTCAATAGAAACCGCATATACTCTGATGTTGTAAAATAACTAGAAATTTGTTCTTTAATCGAAATATAATTTATTACCAAGTTTAATTTCTTGGGGTTAATTTAAGTGCTTCAATTAGAGATGGGCAAAATGGTATTTTTGCTTACTATGCATGCGCATGATATGCTGCATGCATGCATGTTATATGCAGTATACTGTATATTGCAAAAAAAAATATACAAGTAGCTTATTTTTGGGTAAAGTGATTTTTGCTTAATTGCAAAAAATTTTATTAAGTAAATCGATGATGTGTATTAAGTAAAGTTTGTTCAGAAAATCAAAATATATATATTTTGAAAATTTCATACAAATCGAATGACTTTTTATTAATTAACTTTTGATTTTTACACCAAATGAATATAAATTTTAAAGAAATTTTAAAAAATTTGTTGAATGTAATATGCAAAAAATGTATTAATAAAAAGTTATTCAATTTGAATAAAACTTTCAAATATTTGTATTTTTCTCTTATAAGCAACTTTTACTTAATAAGATAGATCGATTTACTTAGAAAAATTTTGACTTTATTATAAAGTAATTACTAATAATCATTAAGTAGTTTATTTTCAAGTATAAGATGTTTTTACATTTTTCTTTCAAAAAAAAGGTAGCTTATTATTGGAGGTGGCTTATTTCAACAATATATTGTAATTAAAATTTTATTATTTAATAAATTAATATATAAGAGAAATATACCTAATTTGATACAGTTCCTAATTTGACACACAATGATATCCTGATAAATATCAATCAGAATCACATGATTCTGATACTATTTGATTTGTCGCATCGAGATGAATTGAATAGTACCAAATCATGTGATTCTGATCGATTCTAATCAATACTTCTTAAGATACTTCATTTAACCAAAATAGCCTAAAGTTGATATAACTAATTTGATGCAGATAAACATTTATGATAAATATCATATGATATATCTATCAGAATTGCAAAATTTTGGTATCATTTGATTCATCTTATTGAGACGAATTGAATGGTACCAAAATCTTGTGATTCTGATTGATGCATCACATGATATTTATTATAAATGTTTTAACTGCATCAAATTAGGCATTATATCAAATTAAGAATATATTTTTTTAGACAACTTTTAACAAGTGATATCTCATAGTTTAGTGATTAGAATTAGATGATTTTGGTACCATTCAATTCATCTCGATGAAACGAATTGAATAATACTAAAATTATCTAGTTTTGGTTGATATATTTAGCAAAAACTTTAACTGTTTCAAAATAGGCATTTTTTCTTTATAAAAGAATTTATAAAAATCAAACTTTATAATATAATTTGATATTGTTACAGTATTGTGGCCTTCTTAACAGCAGTACTATAACAATGACACGGCTACAGGGATCCTTCACAGATTTATAGCGGTGTCCAACAGGTAAGTATAATTT